CTATTGAAAATTGTTGTCAGTCTGGCATAACTTTCCTACTTGGGCATACGAAATCGGCTGCTAAAACGACTACATCTGAACGTTTTGCTTTTTGCAGCAAATTAGACAGTTTCAGGTAGAAATCATCCTTTAGTTCATCTGAACTGCAGTCTGTTGGGATGTAAGCCGAGACTATGAAAAGGCAACGATGGACCCATTCAGACGGACTGCACACATACGACTGTCTACTGGGATCCAGTCAAGAAGTGATTTTTCCGCCCTTACACTCAATGCTATTCCTACATCTGCGAGTCCTCGCGAACTAGCTGAGGGGTCTCCTGACACGCTTAAAGTGGATTTTGCAGACTCACCTTGTTGGCCGGGTGATGTTAAGTGAATCACCACACTCGGGCCCTGTATGCCTGTCTCCAAAACACAACATACATCCATGGCTCGAGATACCAGAGTTCTTGCTAGTGATGCCTGTCGTCCGATTTCTTAGAGGGTCCTGACGTTAAATGCTCCTAAATGAAGTTGGCGACATGGCTTTAAGAGGCTGTCGGAGGTATTTCTTTGGCTCTCATCGTTGTTTGTGGTCACAGAGTGAAGTGAAGGTGCCTCATTAATCTGAAGAATAGTACTAACTGTAGTAGGGAAATAAGATGATGAAGGTGATATGGGTAGAGGAGAATGATGCTCAGGAAGGCTTCGTGTGCTCTTGGAAGTGTGTGGGCGGTTGATACTTCCGGGCTGCCCACACCGTGGAAGTTGGTTGATTCTTCGGTTACCTGAAACAGAGAGAGGGTTAGTGTTACGTGACCGCAGAGCCCAGGGGACAACTGCTTGAGACCGGTCACACATGGCCTGTATGAACTGGTTTCTGGGATTGGTTCCGTATTAGTAAACTTACCGCCGGTTACGGACCACCGTACGGTAAGTCGGGTTGTACAATTGTTGGGGTCGACCTTTTCTAACTCCGTCTCTCCAGAGTGGAGAGACAGCATAGCTGGCATGCTGGTCATCTGAGGGAAACACCTCACTGCTGTTACATCCCAGTTCCCCATCAGTACGACTTCCCCCACAGACCCCCAGCATAGTGTAACAAAAATTCTTACACTATGCCGATAACTGCTTTTAGTCTAATCGCTATCCTAACAACCTTCCTGGCATGGTAGGACCTGCAGGGACATTGGTTCCAGCCAGTGTAGCTTGTTAGGTCATCGCAGTGTGCAAGCCCGACCACCACGTCAAGGTGGCAGCTATCGGTCGGGGTAGCCAGTGCCTCAGATATTCCAAGATGTCCTGATTTCACTCCCTTTGGCGGATTGGATCGGATCTTATATATGGCTTTGAAGGACTTTTCATATGGGGCTGGATGTCCAGAATTCATCAGATGTTCTGTCATCGAACTATGTACCCTTTTGCGTCCTCCCTATGCTAGCCATGCTGAACAGTGTTCCAGAATGCGTTTTACAAGCGGACGTATGGTATGGCCAATGTACTCAGCTCCACACGAGCAAGTGAGCTTGTATATGCATGTTGAAGTGTTCCAATGTGATAGCTTGTCTTTCAAGTGTTGGGTGAGTGGTTTTTTTTGCAGGAGAATGTTATTCGTAGGCTGGAGGCAAAGTATGTTTTACTGAGATACTTCGAAAGCCGTCTGTGGGGAATTTCTGCTTCGGTATCACTTTTAAATTCGAGGTTCAATATTAGCATCTTTTTGAGAGCGACTTGGATCTTTTCAGGTGTTTTCCTTGCTTTTAGGTTCTTGTCTATGAATCTTGGCGGGAATCCATTTTATATCAAGGTCCCTCGGAGATTTTGCAGTTCTTCTTCGATTGACTCCTCAGTGCAGATCTCCCGGATCCTCGAGGAAAGAGAGTAGATTAGGTTTCTCTTTCTACTTATAGGCACACAACTTTGAAAGTTGATAACCTGTCCGTTACATGTATGCTTTTTGTAGACGGATCTCCTTAGCGAGTTGTCTGCATTCCCTTCTTAGCTGAACGTCGAGGAAATGAAACACTGAGTTAGACTCAACTTCCAGAGTGAAGTTGGTGTTTGAGTGGGCTTTATTGAAGATTTGAAGTAGGTTTTTTAGATCAAAATTCTCATCACAAATGATGAAAGTATCATCGATGTTTCTATCAAAGAGATGGAGGTCGTCGATAGTTTTATCAAATGTGCGCTGAGGTGCTTATTAATACTCCTTTCTCCTTCTGCTTTATCTGTCAGAATTAGAGTGTTTCACAGCTGAATTTAGCACCCATATAAACAAAAATAAGTGTTTCTCGAAGAGAGGTGGTTAGACTTGGATCCGAACTAGTATAAAAGAATAGAAAAATATCTAGTAATTCACTCAGGACGAAATCCACGGTATTTATGTGCGAGTTATTTCCACCTTGAATTTATTGTAAATATAAACAAGTTTTAAGACCAACGAATTTCATACTGACACTTCTCTAGACGAATTTCACAGGTTTCCATCGAAAATACTAAACATGTACAGGTTTTCAGGGTTAACAAGCTATGCTAAAGCTACTATGATGAGACAAATTCAACCAAGCTCATCTGTGCCAACAGACTGTTCGATCAGCCTTTCGTTCATTTGGTAACTACCATTCGATTTCGGTCCCCTCAGTTGCAGAGTGGTACACTTTACGGAGTTCGGCTTAGTGAGCTAATCTAAGTATTACAAAGTGAAAGTAGGAGAATTCTCACTTCTTTAAGAGGAACTTTCTTTGCGGTAACACTGAGTGTAGTGTCTCTCTCTCACCTGACTACTTCTATGTGTATATATCAGTTCACCTGTTAATGTGGAGCCAGGTACATCAGTCGTTCGATGCGCACCCTCTCAAAAAGGGTCAAAGAACACCATCCATCGTGGCTGCAGAGAGGAAGTAGTGGCCGTATAAAGAGTGCAATAATCGAAGATCTCATCACCACTGGTCATTCCATTTCAACAAACGCCTCCCTCAATTTAATGTATAAAGTGAAGAAGAACCTGTCAAAGACAATACTTTTCCGTCTTCTTTGCATTGCAGACGCCCTAGCCATTCAGTTAGAAGAACCAGAACTATGCATACAAAAGAAAAATTATTTAACCGCTTCTACTATCATGGTAACAACTGTGTTGATGTGACTTAACTTTTGCTCGTTTGCTTGTTTTTTCTAACTACTTAAAACTCTTACGTAATTCCGTATTTTATTTTGTTTCCATGTTCACCCTGAACACAACTCTTTCATCAAACTATTAGTGTTATTACGCAACTCTCCTTCAGTGGTCGTTTGTGACAACTAATCACTTTTGTTACTACCCTCTTATATCAACACATAATTCCACTGAACACTTTTTGTATTAAGTAACTCCGCCAAAAACTTACTAAGTGTATTTTCGTTTGACAAATTTAATGTACACATACAAAATAATATGTATTTGTGATTGTACAACTGTTAGAATGAATTCGTCGAAAAGGGACTCTTCGCTGAAGTACTGGTCTTCTCTCTATTAAAGTGGAATTTCTCGAGTTATTACATAACCTCAAAAGCTAGTAACACCTTTCTTTTGCTTCCTTACCTTCATTCTCATTTACACTTATATATATATATATATATATATATATATATATCAAAGTGGATGTTTTCAGTACTCTGGTATCCAAACATTACTTTCCTGTCAACGGTTAAAGTATATTAATTTGATTCTTTTACAACCAGGCACTCTGAAGCTGATGAGGGCCAGTAAAAAAAGATTATACTAGTTCATAATGCGAGTGTCATCCATCTTGCTTTAAAAATGATACTCAGGTAGGGACTGCTACCATTTCACTTAGTAGGGATTACGAATTTCACCGCAAACTTGTCTGAATAGTGTATGCCTGTATGGAAAACCTATAGCAGTGCACTGCATAACGATATAATTTCTGTTCTCACTATATACCATAATAATATGGATCATTGCCTGATTATGAATTAATTGAATTGTTAGCAGACGCAGTTGCGTATTCATGGAATACTAAATGAATTTCTCCAGTTAGTCAAAAGATCAGTGATCAACGTGTTTCAGTAGCATTTTGGAGATTATTTTAATATTTTCAAATAATAATATGCAGCATTATGGTTTAATTTTAAAATCATTGTCAAATCAACTGATGCAAAATGCAACGTAGCCGCTATTACCATGTTCGACAAAATACAGCCATAACACTAAAACCCTAAGGTATAATTTTAATCTATCCTGCTCGGCTCTATTACTACGTAAAGTGTTTTGGGAATATGAGCAGCGTGTCTCCAAGCATTTACGAATCAATAATAGCAACATTTGCTACAATAAGAAATCCTTGAGTGAGTAATTTCAGTTCATCAACTGAATACCTAAACTAGCGGTGACAATCAGCCCAAATCTGAAGTTTCTGTTCGAAAAATCTATACATATATATATGTATATATCTTAACAACTGGTCTTCTCTTGAAGACCGGCATAGATCGGCTGGGATGATCAAAGTTGAGACATTGGGAAAGCTGGATTCTGTAGCCAAATCATATATCTTTTATGAGGAATCAAGTCAGTTATTTTGAAATATGCTCAAAAGCCATTGATCAATAAGATGCAGACTGTCCCGACACATGGTTACTGTAATATACCAGTGAATACAAATGAAGAAAGTAAAGGATTATCTAGTAAAAAAAGTGAGCTGACTGTCGATGAATATTACCAGTTTAATATAACCTGGTAATGACGATGATGGTGATGTTGATAAACATAACTGTTTCTCAGATTTCCAAAATGAAATTTAATTTATGACAAATAAGGTTAAAAATGAGAGCAAAACAAAATACTAATTTATGTAACAAAACAAATAAATAAATAAACTAATTTTAATACAGAATGAGAAATGTACTCTCCACTTTATCTGTGTGAAATGTCTCGTCTAATGCACCTATACAGATAACAAATACCTTCTATATTTCATTTTACATAATTGTTTTATATATTGTATTGTTTACAAAATTTATTTTCTTTAGTTCAACACACTTGAGTTGAGTCTTTGGTGTTTAGCCACAAAAAACAGTGAACTACAACAGAAGATAAAAATTAGATGTATAACAAGATGAAAAACACACTTTGCAAGTGAATGAAAATGATGAAAGTGAATTTGAGAAGGACATTTAGAGATGAAACTCGCCTATGATTTTAAAAAATTAAATCTTATAAACTTTGCTGGCTAATTATTCGACAACACCATTGGAATTCAGGATGAATATTTCGTCAAGTTTGGAACTCATCAGGTGTATGTAAATGCAGTCTGCAGTGAGTGATGGTATCCTCATGAACAGTAGACTAGTATTTTTGGTGTAGTTGTGTTCTCTGAGCTGGATATTTATTTGCGAAGCTTCCATTGCCCTACTAGGCAACATCTTCAGCGCATACTTCAATTTGAAGTGAGATTTTAGATTTCTCCGCGAATTTATTAGTCATCTCTCCTGGTGACCTTGAAAGTGATTGGTTGTTTTTTCAAAAAGATGACCAAGAAATAATGGTATGCTTCGACGTCACAGAATTATATACCTCAATTGGACGATGGAGCAATTACTCAGCAACGACGAACATCTCCCAGAACAGTCAAAAACGCAACACACAAGTTGAATGGAATGTGTAAACCTATGCCTAACAACCTACTTCCATTTCAACGGCCAAATTTATGAACAAGTTAAAGGAACACCCATGGGGTCGCCAATATCAGGTTTGACTGCAGAAGCGGTGATGCAAAGGCTCGAAAACATAATCCTACCAAAGATAATACCCAAAATTTGGATACGTTACGTAGATGACACATTTGTAATATTCAAAAGAAACGAGTTGGATAAAACTCACAAGTTAATAAACAACGTCTTCAACGAAATCAAATTCACAAGAGAAGAGGAATCCAAGAACAAAAACCCATTTTTGGATGTCTTAGTCAAGAGAACAACCACAGGGGAATTAGAAACTCAAGTTTATAGAAAATCAACTCACAAAGACCAAATACTGAATTATAACAACAACACTCCAATAACACAAAAGGAATTGTATACAAACACTATTCAAGAGAGCCAGAACTCATTGCAGCACTTTCACCTTAAGTAGAATTGAAGAAAGATATCTCATGGACGTCTTCCAAAAGAATGGATATCCACAGAATTTCATCAAAAGATATACTCCTCCAAGCCAACCTATCAAATCAAAAGCCCACAAGGAAAGCACAAAGAAAATCACCCTGCCATATATATAAAGGACATCTCAGAAATCACCTCAAGACTCTTCAAACCTTTAGGAATTGACGTCGCACACAAGGCAACAAAATCACTTCACTCAATTCTATGTCAACCAAAAGACTCAACAACGAAAGAAGATAAAGCCAACATCATCTACAAAATAAATTGTAACAACTGCGAAAAACACTACATTGGCCAAAGTGGATGTCCTCTTCGTCTTCGTATCCATGATCATAAACTAGCCATCAAAAGACACGACATCCACTCCCTCATGTCGCTACATACAGACAACCACGACTGGGACAACGTTCAAATATTAGACAGAGGAAACACCAAGAATGCTAGAGAATTTTTAGAAGCCTGGTATTCCAGTGAATCATCAGTCAATAGACACATCGAGATAGACAAAATTTACCAGTCGATAAGAAGGAAATCTCACACAAAACGAGTCAAAGTTCAAGTCAGGGAAACAATCATTTCGAATAGAAGTAGCCTAGAGGGTGTTAAAACACATAAAACCAGCCAATCACGTTCAAGGTCACCGGGAGAGATGACTAATAAACTCGTGGAGAAATCTAAAATCTCACTTCAAATTGAAGTATTCGCTGAAGATTTCACCTAGTAGGGCAATGAAAGCTTCGCAAATAAACCATCCAGATCAGAGAACACAACTGCATCAAAATCATCCACCTGAGATTGGTCTTTTGGTTGGTCTATGCTTTTCCAAATTATAGGGTTTCTTTTCCGCATATATAATGTGAAAATAAAGTGAATGGAAATTCGCTATGTCATCGTGAAGATTTCTCACATGTACTTGATAAGAGTTTAAAATAGGAAATGCTTTCCTTTTATAAACGAATATCTTTGTATTTATTCAACTTTGCTGCCGTGATGAAAGTTTCTTACCTTGTATTGAGTCGTTCAAGATTTCTCTTATTCATTTGTAAAATGGTACCGATAATGTTTTATTTTATTGTACTTTCAGTTAGTTGCAATTACCAAGAAACAACACTATTTGGGCATTAATAAAACGGGTTTTGCCTCTAACTGCAAAGCACTCATTACTACTGATGTAATTTTGGCTTCAGAATATAATAAGTAAAAGCTGCTGTAATTATTTAACATGTATCTGATACTTTATTCGTACTTCGCTATAGCTCTATCTGCTGGCAGATCTGCCATGATTCTTTCTAGTCAAGGCTTGAACTAGAATAGTGATAATAATGATAATGATAATAATAATAATGGTAATCTGAGAAGTGGAGCGACACATGGCTTACTTATCAACTCCAATGAAGTATTTATTATATTGTGGAAAAATGATGAAGAAAAAGAAACTATTACTATTCAGACAGGCTTAGTTAAGATACAAGCATATGTTCTCAGTACAAAGTGAATAAATTCAAATAAATTCTTTGAGAAATGATTTAAATCACTATTCTTACAATTTTAGAAGTATTTACAGTGGACTAAAAATCATTAACACTAAGTCAACACAGTTAAGTAACAATGTTTCTTATTTCTACCAACTTATACTTTACGTACACGTATTATTATTTAATTGAATTTTAGATTTTCCCGTCGATTGATTGGGCCAAAGTGCTCGGTCTCAGGTTGACATGTCTGTCGGCTTCTTGTGCAGATGCTTCGATGATGTCTGGGCATTTAATTAGCATTTGATTGGTGGATGGTGACTAGCAGTGGAATCCAAGATGCGTATTTCGTCCTATTTAGGACTCGTCATCTGGATGTACCTGCATTTTCCAGTGAGTGATGATGTTCCAGCTGAGGCTCGAACCCACTGTCCATAGTTTCAAACGCCAAAGTGTTATCCACTAGACCACTTGGGCCACGAGAGCCACCTCTTGTGCAACGGGTCATATTAGCTTTTTAATTCAATTTTTACTCCCAAATGGGACGAAATGCGCATCCTGGATTCCACTGCTAGTCACCATCCAGCAATTAAGTACACGTATTATGCTGAGGAAAAGTTAGAAAAGTATTACTCTGAAAAGCAGACTATTTTAAAGACATGATGCACTCTTTGTGAACATCAGTGTCCAATAAACCTTCATGTTTTCTTTCTCCCACACATTTCTGCTGGTTATAATTCTTTCGAATCTCTTTTTCTTCTCTTTTGCCTACCTTAGTGTGCTACAAGGAGTATGGCAATTTGAAATGTTGCACTTCTGTGCACAGTTTAATATTGAGATTCATTCAGCCATAATGCATAGAGGTTTATTAGTTCATTAATTTGTTTTACGAAAAGTGTATCAGCAACTAGATAAAGAAATTTCAGATGAGAAAGAGTATATACACTCGTTTTCCAGTATAATTTTTGTGAAGTTTTACAGTTTATGAATATGGGTTAAATATTTAATGACTATCTAAAAGCCAAACCGTGCGTCAGTTGCACAGCGATAGAATGTCCGCCAATCACGCATGTGGTCCGGTGTTGGATCCCCGGCCGATGCATTCCTTTACCTCTCTAAGCCAGCAGTAAGACTGGTAAAGAGGGAAGGTTGGGCATGAGGCTAGCAACCGTATCCAGTAAAAATAAACACCACTGCTACTGAAACTGCAAAGCTCCATCCTCAAGCCCTATTCCCCACTGGGAACGTAAAGGAATAAAAATAAAAGCTAAACCAAACCAGCTTGTGCTGTTTAAACGTCACTTACACTGAAGCACAAAGTGCAACCAGCAACAATGATGCGCATATAAGGAAGACAGCACCGGGAAAATATGAAAGTGTCGCTGAATAAACCAGTGGTAGAGCACTGACGCTGATTAGAAGACCGATACGTGATATGAAGGATGCAAAAGAGAGAATCAAACCTTTAGGAGAAAAGAAAATATACTGTGCAGTTTAGTTACTTTGCTGTCGCTATAAAGATTAATATAATGTAATATAAAAAGTTTGACAATAAAATTCATATTTTACATATCATAATGAAGATTTCCTTCGGTCTTCATCAGTGTGAACTCAAATTTTCAAAATTGGAAACTACTGACTGGTGAATTTACAATTCATTTGACTGCTACTTAACTCTTTGAAGAACTATAAACGGTTCTGTGCGTAAAGTATAATTCATGTCATTAGAGTTGAATGCATATGCCTACTGTGGCGAGAAGTTTATGAAGTCTTCGTTTGCTTGTAACCTGAAAGAGGCATACTAGCGAATTAGTCAGGATGTCACATCAAGTCAAAGTGGAAAATGTCTGATACAGATAAATGAAAGCTGTCTAATTATGAATCGCTCATCATCAATTACTATGCATTATTGTGAATTCTGGGAAATTGTGAACTATTTTTGTAGGATGCTTGACACTTTCCCCTCCCATTTTACCGACGTGTTACTCACCTAGTTACCTCAAATTCTGTAAACTAAAATGAAATCTATCGTTGACAAACGAAGTCTTAATTAGTAGTTAAAAGACATCTGCAAGATATTTTAACGTCACGAAAGAAGGTGACTCAGTAGTAATTTCTGATCATCATTCAAAGTGTCAGAATTTCTGCATCTTCCATTTTAATATGCTCTGCTGAAGTATTTACTGAAATCTATTTACTTGGGGTTTAATATTCTGAGGTTTAACAAGGAACGATTTCTCACTTGCACTGAGACTTAGAGTTAATGCCATAAATTTCCAATGTGTGCAGTTTTCTGTCTTTATCTTGTGTAGCCTCTGTCTGTCGCTTAAGGTTTAGAATGATGCTTGATTTAATTTTCTGGTTAGCCGCTAATTCACAAATGCAACCCCATTCCAAATATTTTTGGAATTGACTATTTCAAAGAATTTTAACTTAAAGTTTTATTCTAACTCTCAGCGAAGACAATAATTAATAGTAATGTCGATTTTAATCAGACATATTATTCACGAAATCATGTACTGGTAATAAGATCAGCAGTCATTTCTTTACTTTAACTCACACAAAGTCATCAACACTATTTGAGGAAATTCAATCACGTCACACAGCTGAGTAGACATGAAGTCCTAATAAGATTTCTATCAAAATGTCTGATTAACTGATATCTATTTTCATTTATCTTTTTGCACAGTGGTAGATTCTATTATGAACAGATTAGAGAAGTGCACTTCCACTGAACTTCTCCCCTCCTTTTTAAGCAGTAACTTTAATAACTGAGCGATTAGAGTGCACTCACTTCTATTCCAAACAATATCTGTTAGGGTTACTCATTAATCATATCACTTCATAATTATTTTCATTCCAGTTCACAGTGTGCACACACATGCATGGGCCAATGTATAATTATCTCTACCTTCATTTAAGTTCTAAATGACACCACTTTTATTAAATAAAACAACAAATAAAGTGGTAAGGCAGTACAAAAACATTAACTGCTTGTGTATGGAAAATTAGTGCACTTTATTATTCATTAAAATTTCAAGTAAGCCATGATTTTCGAACAAACACATATCTTACATATCTATCTTAAAATCAACCATAAAATATTTTGAGTATTCATATTATGCATTTTCATTCTCTTCATCATAGATCTCTTGCTATCTTGAGTGAAAAGAACATTAAAAATATGACAACTGGGCACTAATGAAGCATGTCACCACGCCTTAGCAGAAGGCACAGTTCATTAAAAAATTAGTATATATATGCCACATGATGGTGATTATTTCATTTCTATTCAAGTATTGGTTTGTAGGGATTCGACTGATTGGTTACAGGATTTCATTATGGGCTGACATCGGTTAGAGAACCATTGGAAAACCTAGGAGTACTGTACTGCTATTTCGTCCTAGTTTGGGACTTTTCAGAGTACGTACTCACCGCCAGGGTTCGAACCCAGGACCTTCTGGTTACAAGGCGAGCTCGTAGACCATTAAGCTACTGGGACCCGATCATTTCTGGTTACCACAAACAGAAACCAAAATAACTATACTTTTTAGACAATAAATGAAAGCACAAAACTATTAGATATTTGCATTTTATTTCTCCTTTCTAGATCTTTACAATTCTCTGTGTGATGTGGTTGCGTTCTATGAGATGGATAATTCAACTGGGAAGTTCTCTTTGTCTTTTAAGGCAACATCTTCAGTGCACATAAAGTGAACTTTTGTAAATTCTTTCCACTAAATGATATACTTCTGTACCCTGACAACTTTAGTCGTCAAGTATTTGAAGACAGGAGCTCAGTTCATCAGATCAGAGTAGACAGACCAACGGATTCGGATGACTAGGAATCAATGAATTTCAGTAAAAACTGGCACTCCATTCAATCAGACTGACAGAACTATGGCAAAATGTACTAGTGTGGTTGGTATAAACAACAATACAAAATCGAATAATACTCTTAATTCATTATTGTATGCTCACATTAATAAGAATCACGAGTAAAACTTTCAAAAATATGATAGACTAATGTACTGTTTGCATCAGACGTGAAATGTTTTCTAGGTCACTTAGTTTTATATTCTGTTATTATTATTATTATTAGTCTTATTCAGAGTTTAAAAAATCTTTGTGTCGGATACAGTTTGCCAAAAAAAGAACTATAAACTAAAATTGATTTCATATCATAATTTTGGTGGATATTATACACAATTTCAGATTCGAATGCTCAAACATTGCCAAGAGAATATGAAAAGTCAGCCACCAAATGAGTAAGTAGATACTAGTTTCATAATTATCACTGAGTCAGGCCACAACGTTCAGAAGGCTGAAGTCCCTGAACTTGCATTACACAGGCCACAGCGACTGGCGAATCCAAACCCTCTCCCCAGAACCAGTATGTTCACTTTCTGATTTCTCTTTAATCTCACTTCTGCTGGTCTTCATACTGCCGATCGTTTCCGTTTTATCGATGCATTGTCCTTCTCATCATCTCCTTTCAGCCTTAATTGAGACCTCAGTCATCTTCTTGCATAGACGATAATGATTTCTTTCTGTCAAACTTAAAATTGGTCTTATCATTTTGATTAGCATTTCAATTGTTACGTAACCCTACTCTGGTTATCTTTTCTTTTTCTATGTTCGACCTTTGAAAGTCATAACCCTACCAAGGACTGAATGAAGGACCTTCAGGTTACGAGGCTAGCCAGCCGACCACTTAACCTTTGTAGTGGGATCTAGCTGAACTGAACAATGGGATCCACCACTAAAGAGCAGTTGCTCACCTGTGATACTGGTTGGCAGTGACTCTATATCGTAGGCTGAGGAAAGCTGCGACGCACAATTTATTAGATGTCAAACCCAGTGGCTAAAACGCCAATAACTAGCCTCACAACACCAAGGTGATTCTTCACACTTCTGAAAAGTCGGAAACTAGGACGAAACAACTATCTAATACTCCTTGGTTCCCAATGATTTCCTGATGGATTTCGTTCCGTGATGAAATCTACTTAAGAATCAATTGAAAACCCTACAAAATCCGAAATAAGTAGTTGTTGAATATTTATGAGAAATCGACATGTTTTTGAAAACTGCGTGGTTTTTAATGACCTACATTGCAATGTTAATATGCATGTTATTTTTATGTGGGCTTGTGTCAAAGGCCCTATTTTTCGGCATCGTGTCGGAATACGAAATCCAACGGATTCAAATATCAAAGAAATGTCTTTTTATATTGTTATATTTTATATATTATAAGTTAGAAATTGCCAAAAGATACCTAATTCAGTTACTGCAATTTGAACACAATATAAAATCTCATTTAATAACGTACCTTGTCTTTGCGTACTACTCCAGTTAGTGACAAGTGTACGCAACAGTGGGAAGTTAATGTTTTTGGCCAGCTTCGCGACTATGGCTAGGGGGAAAATAGATAAAATGAAATATTCTTTTAAATACAAAAAATATAATGATATTAGCTATCCATCTAGTTGTAAATACACCGTTTAAAAAGGCAGTTAAAAGCACTATTCACACAAGTCGAGTAACTTCTGATGCATCCAAACATGGATTTGAGTTGTAACACTCTCATCTAGACAAGTTACCCTAAATCTTTGAGTGTATTTATCTCTATTAGAAACAATTACTTGAAAACTATTGAAAACCTGGGAGTCCTGGACACTTATGTCGTCCTAGTTTTGAAGTCATCAGCAGTACCTATCCACTGGGGTTCGAACCGAAGAATTCCTGTTTACAAGGCCAGCTATTAGACCATCCAGCGGCTGGGACCCGACTCAGTAGCTTTCTGATTTTAGCGTGACCACTTGCCAATGACAATGGGGAGTATTCGTCCTCAATCCCTATTGGATGGACCCCTTTGGTCACGACTTCTTGCCAAAGCTCCAGGAAACAGCTAGTCAATATAGGGCATCATATTAATTTTCCCAAAGTATGACGAAACAGCTGTCCAGTACTTCCTGGTTTTCAATGGCCCTCTAACTGATATCAGTCCACAGTCACACTTGAAAATTAATCAAATCCTTTCAAACCAATTCTTGAACATTACTGGAAATCCATAGAATCCATATAATTGTTCGCTTAGACATTAATTACACTTATTTCAAACAGTTAATTCATGGTAAATAAAAATATTTGCAATAAAACATTCAGTGCATAATTCACCATCCCCCAATATCTTGCTAGTTGTGGTGAGTTGGATCACACAACCGACCGTGGGAGGCTCAAAGACAAGAATACTTTGAGCTGAAAGGTAGACTCTAAAAAATATGGATGATTTATATAGTGTCAAAAAATACTCGAAGATCTATAGCCGAAAGCCAACAATTTGACCGAAGATACAGGTAGTGAAGACAGAACTTCAAGCTATCATAGGAAAGATACCTGACTAACAACAACAAGCATCAATTACCATCAATTGGGGAAATCTAAAGGAAGCCACTTTTCCTACTTGTCTAAGTAGGATCATTTCGACTACAGGCAATACTGATGAAGATGTGAAAATCAGGATCGGGAGGGCAAAACAGACAGTCATTAATCCGAAATGAGTGCAGAAATCAACTGCACTGAACATAAAGAACGGAATTCAGATTTTCAAGACTAATTAATATCAAGGCAATGTTTCCAACCGGTTTCGAACCTTTATCAGCAGCTTTCCTTTACTCAAATGGCCACGCCCCCCCCAGGTCCTTGAGTGGAAAGCAAAAGGGAAGCAATCGATGAATCTAGCGTTCTTGTTTGACATGGAGAAGATCGTGTGAATGGGAAATGAAAGCTTTTAAGCAATCCTTTGGTTAGCTGAAAAAGTTTGTAAATGACATAATGAAATAGGGAATAATAATAATAATAATAGGATAAATGAATAACTCACCAATGTAGACAATGATGTTAGCCGTAGACGATGAAGGTAAAAATGCCACAGTCATTAAAATCCTATTGATCAACATCAGAATCAAGGCAGTTATTAGTAAGCCAAACAGTGTTCTGCGAAATCTTAAGTTTATCCGGTCATTTTGCCTATCAATACCGAGTGAATCATCATTAGTATTCATTGGTTTTGATTGTTTAGCCATTGCGGACTTTTGATATCTGACCAATAAATTAACAGCAGCAATCGACAATACCGATGAACACGTGTCTACTATACCACTGAGTGAGCAAAACAAAATATTAACATGGTTATATGGGAAGAAGCAGAGCATTCATGTTACTAATAAATCATTATGAAGATATTATGCTTAGTAAGCTACTAACGCCTGCATTTGCGAAGGTTGTGTCTTTCCAGCTGTTATATACATAAGGTTTTAAAATTGTTCTCAAACCGCTGACATCAACCATTAGTATATCCCTTCTTGCTCTCTTCAACTGGTGCTGAAATATTCTGATTCCCATGTATTTACTGTTGATCCAATAAACGAAAAATCAGTAATTAATTTCATCCTCCATTATGGATAATATTTTATTTTGATAAATCACACAGTGTTATGCAGTAATATTAAATGATGACGTTTCGAGCACAAAATATTGCCACTCATAATCATATCAAGTCAATCACACAACTTTCTTGCTTCATTTATATACATGAGTGGAATTGATTAGACATTTGAATAAAACTCAATATAAGATAATGTACATTCAGATGAGTCATTTCTGTTGCATGTGTTGGGTGTAGACTCAACGCAAATACCAGAGATATGGAAGATATTATTACCAGTCAAATCGGAGAATAATAAATAATGTTAAAATATGTTCAATCACATTATGACATTCTAACAAGCTACTTATTTTACCGTAAAAAGCATCTTATTTCCCATCTGACTGGATTTGAATCATGACACTAGTATTATTATTTCTGAATGTACATTATCTTATATTGAGTTTTATTCAAATGTCTAATCAATTCCACTCATGTTCATAAATGAAGCAAGAAGGTTGTGTGAGTAGTGACTTGATATGATTATGAGTGGCAATAGTTTGTGCTCGAAGCGTCATCAGTTAATATTACTGCATAACACTGTGTGATTAAATCAGAATAAAATCTTATCTATAATGGAGCTATACTCTACCACACTGCCCAAGTTTTATACTTATAATAATTTCTTCCTCCGTCTAAATATAATTCTGCTTTGGGACATTCGTCCGAACCCACTCTGATGTAAATCTAGGTCGGCTCATGCACTGAAATAGTTTAACCTTTTTGTGTTTACATATTCTGATTGGCTCCGATCGTCCACCATTACATAGTATTTAAAAATTAGGTTGTTTTGTCTAGTGATTAATAATGGCTATCCATCACACTTAGCCCTATGTTCCTCTAGGAATTAAAGGAAATAATAATAATAATCACACTTAGCCTCAGTGGGTATTTTTGTACAGAGTCTATTTGATCAGGAAATCACTTCAGATATTCGGGGTTTATCACCCACTAATTATTATTCATGTTATAGTGAAACTTATCACTGTCACAGTTCAGTGACACCTTATTTCAAAGATCGCAAGAAGCAAATGTAACCTATACATCTATACACAGAAATCCAATACTGTTGCTTATATTTTAAGCTGACTTTATTGTGTGCACATTCCTGTCTTTTATATTCGATCAATAAATCATGTAAATAAGCCTAGTGTTGCTTGAAATGGCATAATTTTAGTTGTATGTCTAAAATCACTTACTACTGATAAATTTCCAAATAGTATTTTCGTGATTTCAATTGTTTTAAATTAACAATACCAAATAAAAGAAAATGAATTTTAAAAAATAACCTCTAGTACAATGAGCTAGAATTTGTATCGGCTTTGGTTATTGATCGTGGTGAGTATTTAGAGAATATATAAAGAGTAGCATACACCTGACATTAAAAAAATGCTAATTTAAGCAACCTCTCATCTGCCATAATTGTTACCAGATTAGCGGCTGTATTTTACTTTCTTAGCATACATTCACCTCAATGACCTCATTTTTATTTGTCTATACAAGTTCATTAAATTGTCAGCTGTTTGTCAAGACTAAGACCGATTCACCCAAAAGCTGTGGGCGATGATGTCAATTTTTGGATTATGACCATTGCTTATGTAGCTCAAAACATTGCTTACATGACGATTGATTTAGTGTTATTTGCTTGTACCTATGAAGTTTTGTTAACTTCAATGAATGAATAGCACTGACCACTTCTTTTGCTATGTCATTTTTGAGAAAAAAATATCTCGATTATGTCTAGAATTTATTTCCACACTAATTGTTTAGTGATGATTGTCGATAAAACAGAGGAAACAGGTTTCCTACTACATAGGATTCTTCAGTTGCTCAAACACTGGATTCCTCTTGAAAATTGTTCCTGAAGCTTCCCTACTCAGACGTTTGATGACGTCATAAATGCAGGTTGTGGGACACGGTATCATATTTTGTCATTTTTTCCAGTTTGGTGTGCTGAATGTTTTTCTCTCAGGGTTTCAGTAGATTACTGATTGTTATCTGACTGGGGGAAAGGTTACCTTGTGCAACTACCAGAGAAGGGCGACCTAGGACTCTGCAAGAACTGTCGAGGAATCATGATCCTGTCGACGCCAAGTAAAATCCTGAGTTGCATCATCCTGGAGAGAATAAAGGGCACACTGGATACAGAACTTTGACCAGAACAAACTGGATTCAGGAAAGGCAAATCATGCTCTGACCAAATTGCAACTCTACGCATCATCATCATAGAACAAAGCATGGAATGGCAATCAAACCTCCACCTCAACTTCATAGACTTTGAGAAGGCCTTCAACAGCGTCGATCGCGAAGTAATTTAGAAACTACCCAAGTACTACGGTGTACCCCAAATATTCATCAACCTTATTCAACAGCTGTATGACAACGGCACATGTCAAGTGATCCACAACGGAAAACTCAGCGAAGCGTTTGGAGTGAACACAGGAGTCAGACAAGGGTGCTTGTTATCACCAATGATATTCCTAATTGTGGTGGACTGGATTATGCGTCAGACAGTGGGAAACGAGAAGACAGGGATATCCTGGACCGACGCAAAGAACCTAGAAGACCTGGATTTCGCGGATGACTTATGTTTGATGTCACACAAAATCGAAGACTTACAAGCGAAAACCGCCAAACTGGTCGAAGAAGCAGCAAAGACAGGACTCCAGGTGAACATAGACAAGACGGAGGTTATGAAAATAACCAACAACAACAACAGCAGCAACATCCAGTGTCAATCACCATCAACGGGAGGGATTTGAAAGAGGTTACTTCTTTCACTTATCTAGGGAGCATTGTCTCAACTACAGGAGGAACGGACGAGGATGTCAAATCGAGAATCGTGAAGGCGAGAAACATATTCATCAACCTGAAACAAATCTGGAAATCTTCGTCACTCCTCAACATCAGCAACAATATTCAGATTTTCAATACAAACGTCGAGTCAGTCAGTTTTGCTATACGGATCAGAAACTTGACCAGCGGGTCACAAAGAACATTTCCAACAGGTTGCAGACCTTTATCAACAACTGTCTTCGTTCTATACTGAAGATCAGATGGCTGGAAAGAACCACAAACAAGAAGCTATAGAAACAAACAAAACAAGAACCAACCGCCCAACAAATATGCAGGAGAAAGTGGTGATGGATTGGACACTCGCTGAGGAGGCCGTTGGGTGACATCGCGCGTCAGGCCAGTGCTCGAGTGGAACCTGAAAGGGAAGTGGCGAGTGGGACGTCCAAGGGTGACATGGAGGAGATCATGTGAAGAATAGTTGAAACAGTATGGACTAACATGGATGCAGGTGAGAAGTACAGCAGAAGACAGAAGCAAGTGGAGACGTGCAGTTGAAGCCCTATGTTCCACTAGGAACCCAAGGGAATAATAATAATAACTGGTTGTTGCAGTTTACCCTACATTTAAAGTCCAAAAAAAGATTGAAAAAATCCCTGGTTCTTCCCTTTATACAATGTGTAGCTACAATACACATCTAAATAAAGCAATTTACAAATGGAACTTTTGGGTTTTAAAAGCCGCCTTTTCATAATATTGCAGTTTACTTTAATATTAACCGTCGTATCAATAAGTATTCATACTTTTCTTTCAATAAACAGGTTTGTTATTCATCGCTCAGTCAAATATCTCTTCAGAATATACGAAAAGAGTACACATTTGCTACTAATATGCTTATCTTCTACACGAAGATAGGAAAAATCATTTATTGTGTTTTCTAGGTGAAATAAACTGTTGACTGAAATGCATATACGTAATTTCAAAATTAGGAAATGAAAATTTAAAAAAAAACAAAAAGTTAAACCTAGTTTTTCATTATTTTGATAGTACACAAAACATTACTTGGTTAATCCTAGTCTCCTGGAGTTCCACCAGAAAGGTTCACTCATCAGATAAACAGTAGTAAATGGTGAGTCTACCATAGCCGAAATAGATACAAGTAGCTGAATCATCAAGATTACAATTAAAACAGGATGCGACGACATTACAGCCTAAAATGTTGATGAAATACAGTTTATTAAAGTTGTATAGAAATGTTCTCAAGTCACATCATTTGTTTAATTGTGTGAGAAAGTATGCACTTAGGACAATGAATCACAAAAGACATAAAGAGCTGTAGTACACTATATTTTAGAGGAGGAAAACTGAAACGATTTAGAAGTGATTTCCACCAGCTGAGGACTGCAATTCTGGGATACAGTGATGACTGTAAAATGCAACATACAGTCTCTACCACCAAATACATTCTGAATGCTTGAATCTATTGTAAATGATTGACATGTTATTGCATTCTGGCCTGTTGTTAAGTGATTAGGACAATATTTAGCAGTACATGCAGACAGAATACACTGAGTTGCCGGCACACTCATTTTTTCTTAGTCTATTTACTTTTCTATCCAAAATTGATTCAGTAGTGTTTATCTCACTAAGCATAGTTTATTTGCTCTAATTGCATACTTAAGAGCTCAGAATTAACCATTAACTAGTCAGCTGAAGTAAATATCCGGTGACATGGTTAAAAAGTAGGTGGCTTCAGAAAATAACATAAGTCAGAGTGTCTATAGTGTGGAAAAATGCATCGATTCTGAAACTGCAAGTTACCGGCGATCTGGGAACGCAAAATGTGAGAAAAGTTTTTATGAGGATCAGTGCTACTTGTCATCCAGTCAGGTGATAAAGAGTTCACAATCAAAAACAACTGACCAATCTATTACCTTAGGTGAAATGGAACATTAGTTCCATTGAAGGGTGTTGATAGCTTTAAAATCAATATTCAGAGCTCTTCACTAATTGTTTTTATTAATTAGCACTAATTTGTTTCCTCTGGTCTATGATTACCCGTTTGATTCTTCCATTCCTATTGAACTTTATCGAGATGTTTACATTTGTTAGTGTTATCTTTAATTATGAAGTCGCACACAAATTTTAAACTTAGCATGTGCACGGTAGAACTGGGTACGCATGAAATCAATTCATTTCACTCTATAAAATTTGTTGTTTACATATATAAAAGGTTGTTACCAGTAATAGAACCATTTCAAAGTGATGAGGTATGCCTCTGAAGCCTTATGTTCTACTTGGAACTGCAAGAATGAATCATTAACAATTTCTATGATCTTTTTGCAGATACTTGTTCAGAAGATTGAGACCTGAACTTTGTTAAGTGGATTATTCGGGTTTCCAATAAGAAATTAAGACCAGTAAAATATACTAAGTCATATATTGAGAAAGATCCTAATCATTAATGACTGTGAGTTGTAAGAACCCCAAATATTGAACACATGGAAAGTGAAGATAATACCCAACAGACTAGTTCATGTTTAAAGCTATTTGGACAAAAACTATTAAAATGTAAGTATTGTCCTTTCCAAGTAGGCTTTCGTTAAATTGACTTCTTCTAGGCGTTGCATGGCTATGTAGAGAAAGTCATGCTTCTCACTTACTCAGATTATTCAATGACACGCATACCAGTATTGAATTTACTATGGAACATGAAAGTGATGGAAAGTTCCACTTCCTTGACATAGCCATGCAACGCCTAGAAGACGGTAGTCTTCAGAAGTCACTTTAACGAAAGCCTACTTGGATAGGACAATATTTACATTTTAATAGTTTTTGTCCAAATAGCTTTGAACGTCGACTAGTCAAGACTCTATAGTATAGAGCTAAGAGATTATGCTCTATAGAGGAATTAGAGTAAGAATTTATGTTTCTCGAAAAGATGTTGAAAAGCAGCGATTACCCTCAAAGGTTCATTAACAAGTACGGCAGATCTAAAAGCTCAAATGTCAAGCAAATCATAGCAGAGAAAACACCCATCTACATTCAACTTGATTATGAAGGTGAAAATATTGCAGTGATTGTCAACAGAAGATTGAGAAGATCACTAGGCACGACCTATCCTGCAGCTAAGTTGCTTCCCCTCTATCGAACAACTCGCTCTTTGATGCAATCAAAAGTTGATAGATACTCTTCTCATGTTAAATAAAGCTGTATATACAAATTTACATGTATCTGCGGGAGCTGTTACATTGGAAGAACAGAAAGAAGAGCATATCTACGATTTTCTCAACATGTATCAAAAAACTTACGTCCAAAAGAAACAAATGCTTTAAACAGTGCCATAGTCAGGCATCTCCTTGACACGGGTCATGAGGTGGACGTCGCAAGATTGTTCAAAATTATCCACAGGCAAAAGAGTCCAATTCTCCTCAAGTTTGCTGAAGCCATCTCTATCAAGCGCCCGAAACCTAATTTATGCGTTCAGAAAGAAACAGTTATCAATCTTCCTTTGCCCTGGTAACTGAATATTTTCACCTCTTTTTCATCTGATTACGTAATGTCGGATTTTTCCATTCTTTATGATCATTATCGTTCGGAATAGTGTTTAATATTATATATATATATATGTAATTACTGTATGCTAATATAGATTGATTTTTGTTTAAAAATGAACTCTGTGCAAGTATGTTTAAATTGTCTTTGTGGATATATTTAATAATGTCTTTGGCCTGTAAGCAGATGATGAGAAGCCAACTAAATAAATGATGGCACCACTTTATTTTGCAGAAACTGCTGTTCTTGCCTTATTCAAATTCCTTAGGGGGAATAAATGTATGAAATTAACATAATTTAATCGTATAACGAGAATCTAGGGGTTACAAAAGGTCGGATGTATTACACTCATGTTGCTAAAAAGCCGAAAAAGTGTATTTCGTTTAGTAATCATTCGACAAAGATGCAAGGGTAACCTTTATGAGAACAAAAGATAAACACTGACAACTTATATTGACCCTGTAGTAATAAAAAATACAATAACGGTAGTAATATCTGATTTACCCTCATTATTTGTTTAATTTTCCACTGAAATTTGTCGCAGCAGCTTGACATCTCAGTTTCGTTGCGTGTTCCTGTTTTTATTGATGTATTATTTGTATCATTAATACAAAGGTAATTTGACTGTATTTTACTATTTGTTTCAGGCAAAATACATATCAGCAGAACAACTGGGATGTAGACTATGATACAAACAGCCATAGTGGTGTCAAAGCCATATTTGTAAATAAGAGGACCTTCACAAACAAAAAGCAATTTAGATTTTAAAAAACCAAGTAAATATAAAAAACCTGGATGATTTTTAAATAATTCAGTTGCAATTTTCAACTTAAAATAATGCTTACTGTCAGAAAATAGTTGCAAGAAGAAGAACTCACCAGAGATTCTGCCTCTAAAACACCGATTTCTGTAAATCAGTGATCGTCACAGAATAAGACTAATAACCAAATCAAAATTACTCATATTTTATTTTATCCTTGTATGAATGACCATACAGAATGTAACCTCTTAGTTTTAATGCTTTTATTTCTTGATGACTTAAGCAATGGGGTGGTTTGTGAGCATTACTTGGCTGTTGATACTGACTAATTATTATTAAGAAAACTTGTCACCACTAGATTGGTATATTTAGCATTGTACTAAAAAGGATGTATATATATATATATATATGTCAAAGTAGGACAGTGGTAAAGATTTACCTCGAAAGCAGATATTTGTCAACCCTATTGGTTACCTCCTAAATGTCACTATAATCTATTTTATCAACACCTGCGCGACGATAGTTTATGCACATAAAAAAGAACGCTTTTTTGAATTGGAGTTCATAAACATTCAGGGGAACTTAATACCAACTAGAACCTAAAAGGCTTTAACTTCAGAATGAAACATTAGATTGTTTCACCAGAGCAATAGTTGATTAGATCCAATTTCTTGCTGTTCATAGCTTGAGAAATACTAGTTGAGTGTTGTATGAGGATAGTTCTTCGTAAGTATGGCTCACTCTTATCCTCTGCTTTAGAAATGCAAAAGATAGGCGTAATGTCATATTTTATAAATATGGTAAGAAAAGTGTTTTGAATATATTTCGTCTTTTACTTATTTCTAAGTTTAATATGTAATACTTTTGATGAAAATCAGAATTCACACACTGCTACATCAACTTGAATATTCAAAGTAGGACTTTTGAACAAATGAACACTAAGAAGTCTATGTATCTTTCCTGTAAATTTCAAGTCATAAACCAGTAATTTAAGAAAGGGTATGTTGAAATGAAGATTATTGTGCCTTACCCAAGCAAATTTCAAAAGATTAGCGACAAAAAGTGTTGGAATTTCATGACGTAAGTAAGAGTATGTGTGATTTGAATTGATTCAGCTAAATCAGCAGTTTCTAAGATCATACACTTAGATAGTTTTTTCTGATAACCACTTATGGTATCAAGAAGATTACCTACACTATGATCTGAATAATTCTGGTTTCCAAAAAAAAGTGATTATGTCTTGGCTGAAAATGTGTGTTATTTGCCAAAGACGAATTTGATTCATGAAAATAATTTGCAAATACTTAACAAATGCATTATAAATTCACTTGTGAACTAGATTATACACATAAACTGTATATTGCTTACCAGCGATCATATTAGCAACTGCTAAACTCAAGCAAGCTAAACCATCGACAATTGTAAGGAATAACCATCTTCGACGATCATAAACGGCTTTCTTTGCAAAATTATAATTTTGATCTTGGTCACACTTTGTCAAATCGGCAATGCAGACAGAAAACTGAGCAATAGCTGATAAGAGACCACCACCAATAAAACCTTCAATCACATTCGAAATAACCAAAGCCCATGGAGTAAGACGGTAGAATACTACAACAGCTGAAAAGAAAGCAGTTTTTTAGATATCCCGCGAAAAGTGAAGTAAGCGTGCTCAAGCAATAATGAGTTAAGTGAGAAGTAGAATTATTTGAGTGATGTTAAAGCACACGCCTTAATCCACAGGTTCCAGGGAACAAACTTTGTTAGTCTGTGGCAGTAAATGTTGTTTGCTAGTCATACCCAGGCAGCAGGCCTCAGAAGTGAATACATAAAATTGTATCATCATAGTTTCATACTATTATATATGGCCTATCGCACTATTATTTTACTTGTATCCCAGTAAGGCTCGTTCACACTGGTGTATTTTAGCAATATGCCTCAATATTACTCAAATTATTATTAACTTTAAAGTATTGGCCTTCATTTTTTTAATGATTCAAATGTGTAGCAGTTCCAGCACAATAAAAATGAAAATCGTAAAATCGCTGTAATCTGAAATCACATGAGAAACAAAACGTTCTGGGGTTAGTATAGAGTAGTTCGAGCAATTCGTACGTTCTTTGTTATCTGTGTCAGCACCATACTTCAACTTGACCTCCTGATTGAAACTTATTGCATGAAATATAATTGCAATATAGGTCCTTGAGTAAGGAACACTCTACCAACGTGTCGCAAATGGCATGAAAGACATCTGTAAACCAATTACAGCTTTATTTGTTTATATTTTTAGTATTTGGTAGAGAAAATCGTTTGGTAGCTTGTAATTAACTGGTTATCATAAGTCGTAATCTGACTGTTCTCCACAACTATTTTATTAGAAGATACCAAATTACCAAAAGTGCACCCAATGCGTTATAAGATAAAAAATGAATCTGGTAAAAGCCAGCTATTTTGATCAGATAACAAAGCTCGTATTCTTCATTTGGACGGCCAGTCGATATGCAAATTCCTCCCAGTTTTCTGATTATCCGGCATAGTCATTTTGACATGTTTTTGACGGCCAGTGTTTACATGAAGAATTATTCAAGGAAAACAGCACGAAACAAACCTAAGAAACACTCAGAAGACACTCCCTCTTAAACTAAAGGATAATGTGTTGAGAAATGTGTTCAGAGAACTCTCACTTTCAGAGACGAAATCAAAGACTTTTCGAAACATCTCTCAGAACACTTTTTTTAAAGTAGCACGAAAAAATTCGAAAAGAATCAATTGAAAACCAGAAAAATGAGAACAAGGTCGCACTACTAAAAAGGCATTTGGGAGTTAAAGTAAAGTCGATAAGGTCATAATTCCATCGAATAACCATACTTTGTAATTAAACAGTAAAAATCATGACATGAAAATCATTCATTCTACTATAAACTTAATGAATGTCATAACAACTTTCACTTTAAAGACAGTAGAATTTCAAAAATATCTGAAGAATTCTCAAAAGCATCACAGTAAGACTAACAAATGAAAACACAGATTTTACTATTGTTCTTAAATATTTCAGCTCGAAGTTTTAGAAGAAATTAGACAATTAATCAGTTGAGTGACGGATGACAGGCTACAACTAGCCACGCCCGCATAACACATGAGGAAATAAAGAAAATAACACCATGTCAGTGAGTACACATAAAAAAATATGTAGTAATAGAAATCAAAGGATTATTCAGCAGAAAAATTTCAATGATTGTAAAGCAAATGGATATGATTTGGATCTTTATAAGAATAGTAATCGTCTGCATTTTACGAATAAGTAAAAACAAACAGAATTTCTGTTTAGAAGTGACTTGAGGACAAAGGCCAGAATTTATCCCAGCTTGCCTTTCATCAACAATGTCTCCTATAAACATTTACCAAAGCTATAATAAATACGCTTCCCTGTAAAAATAAATTAATCTTATCACTAAATTGATGATAAGTCTTCGGGAAAGAGATGAAATCACCGGAACATGGAAATTTGAGGTTTCAAATCCTCAGTCTTACATAGGAATTTAAATCGAAATTGGATAATACTATGGAAGTTGTAAATTTGATTTAATTTATTGGAATTCAAGAGCTGTATAAAAGATTTAAAACAACATTGATATTATGAGGTCACATCAACGGAGAAGGCTTGACTATGTTATATATACATACTGCTAAGCGAGAGTAAACTGAGATGAAGTGTATGTGCCATAATATGCAACATGATTTTATGAAATGTTAGTGTTTCTCAGTACCATAGAAAACAGTTACTGAGCATTGGCAATACGTTGTTTAAAGCTAACAAAAATGATATAAGCATATTAATTTACGACTCTTACACTTTAAAATGCCGTAAAATCATTCACCTTCCTTCTCTTGTTTCTCACCTTCTTTTTCACCTTGGTATTATTCTTATTCTAAGGTTTTCTAGTATCTCATAATCTGAAATGAGACCACTTTTCACCACAGTGATTTATTCACCTACACGTCTCAGTTCTAAAGAAATGTAAATATTTGTGTGGTCGTATGTTTCAGAAAGTTGCTTGATTCTACTTAAAAGATACTGAAATAAACTACCATTCGCGTTTATTACAGATAATTTCATTATGATTTTATATTTGATTTGTCAAACTTTCTGCATACTAATATTGATTTTGTATTACTGTGTTTTATATCAGATCAACTTGTCTAATATGGAATCACATTCTACACAATGCCTGAATTCTCCCCTTGCAATAATATTGAGAGGACATGTATTTATTTCATGGGATATCTGTGCTTTTCTATTACTTTTTCATGAGTACTTTCATTCTAAAAAGTCAATTCTCTAGTAGTTATAAATTTATAAAATATACATTTATCACTTGGCGAATAGCTGCAGATATTTTTTTCAATGTTCACATAACATTAATAGACATACCAACAGCTACCAACTGAGCTGCTTCACCAGCAATGAGAATACCCAGTGCAACTTTACGCCCAAAGCGATCTGACAAATAGCCAACCAATAAAGTGGATACTAGACCAGGTGCAACAGCAGCAAAGTTATTCGATGACTGAACCATAGATGTTTGACTTTGAGCTTCTTGTCTTTTCAGTTTGATTTCTTCGTTAACCGACCTTATAAAACATAAATAACATGAATAGGTTTCAGGAAAAGCACGAAATCAACTAATTCATACTTAAAATAGAATAAACTTCGTGTCGTATGAATTCAGATTACGTATACAATATGTACGAAATAAAAATAAAAGTGTTACCCAGCAGCATGTTTTCTTCAAACTTACTAAATTACCTGAACATTATAAGTAACTACTATGATGAAAATGTTGAAATTGCACTTATCTAGTGGAAAAAATAAGTAATGTGTTTTCAGCACTAACACTTCCAGTTTACCTGTAATTTCTTTACCATAATTTCCAAAAACGTTATCATAAACTGTCTTTTTAAATATAAAGTTCATTGAAAAGACGCCATATTATTATTATTCCGTAGGGTTTCGAGTGGAACACAGGGCTACAACAGCATATCTCAAGTTTGTTTTATTTTCTGCTGTCTTCTTTAGCTGGGCGTACGACTGCCAATAATCTCTCATCCCTTCCTTCTCTGTGTCACCTTCAGATGACCCACTTGTCATTCCCCATCCATGTCCCACTCGACCAATAGCTTAGCGCGCGATATCATTCAATGGGCTCTTCAAAGTGTACCCAAGTCATCTCCATTTTCTGCTGTATATTTGACATCACCTATTGTACTAGCCCGCTGGTTTTCTAATGAGTCCCAAGCCCGGGAAAAGACGGGGTGTCGGGCTTGAGGATGGCGACCGTAACCCGGAAAACCAATCAAAATGCCACAGAAAATTCAACGCACAAGGACACGCACCATACTAAGGAGATAATTAGCCATTATCAGAAAAGTTGAGTTAAATTAGAACAAAAGTGGTGTATTTATTAATAGGCAGGTGCGAGGCAAGAAATCAGGAGTCATAAAGTACAAACAATTAAGAACTCCATTGACCAAAGGGCTGAGGTTAAACCATGTAAACTATTTGAATGATTTACGTGGTATTCTGTGTCTTTTAAATTAATCAAATATTTCCTCAAAATATATTATCATTCAGAAGATATGATCAAAATAATATGCATTATGTGCTAGGAGCGAGTTAATAGCATCTTATCGACCTATATTTTGTATACGTTGGAGCATATGATCATGTCACATAGTTCAGTAATCTAATATAGGTAGATTTACAGCAACTTCATTAGCACACAACAGATACACCAGTTTCAGTGTTGGCTTTGTCACAAACTAACATCATTTCAAGAATCACTAGAAGCCAGGGTACTGTGGACATATGTTTTGTCCTAATATGGGACTTTCAAGGGATATGCACTAACAAACTCCTTAGGAATCAAACTCATGACGTCTAATTTACAACATGGGTCCACTGTCATTCCATTAACTGGTCAGAAATCTAGCAAATTATCCCACTTCTTCCTGATGTTCCAGTGAAAAGTTGTCGTCTGTTTCTTACAAAATGTGGAGTACGAGAAGGCATTATTAACCAAAACATTAGGTGATGGTGAGGCTATATCAGAAACTGTCAGAAGTCAGCATTCTTAGACAATACACAGATGATAGAAAGATCAGTTGCAATACCTCCATCTCGTGACGAAATCCATACTGAAATCAACCAGATCCTCATGAACTCGATATTAGAAAACTACGTAGTCTATCATTTGACGACTGATTCAGGCAAATAAGATTTGTTATTTTGTTACAAAAGAAGTGAATAGCTTAGATAAGTGTTAAGTTAGACAGTCACTAGATGATGTCTATGTGTGGAATGTTCAGAGTTTGGTTTGCAGTTTTATCTGTAAGGATATAATACGCGGTGCATGATATAACCAACAAATAAATTAATATAGAATTACATACTACCACAGCGCCCAAATTTATCACATATAATCGCATATCTTGTATACTCATCCTCTTCTTAAGATTATGATTACGTATATTTCATCAGGTCTTTCTTTTTTTTTCTTTTTCATTTAAGTTGGCTTGATAACTGAATGTGTGTGGTAGGATTGTCCCAAACGTGTTGCACACGCCCCACAATTTCTAGATAAAATTCATCTAACGACGGTCTCTTTTCTTTATTCATCTTAATCAGCCATACAATACTTATCCAAATAAGGTTTATGTGGCTTGCCTACTGACTCCTGGAACACTGAGTACTAACCACACCGACACACAGATGCATCCAGATAACGAGTATTAATTAGAACAAAATACTCGCCCTGGCTCTGACTACCAGCCATAACTTAAACAAGTGACTTCATTTCAATGATTTACGTTAAATAACAAATAAGTCTGATTTGAAATAATGATCGAATCGGCCATGTATAAGAAGAGGTTGAAATTCTGCGTGATAATATATGACTGAGATTATGCTAAAACTAAACAAACGCATAGTTGATGCAAGACAAAATGTTGCGGAGAAAGAAGGAGCGATTCATTTATTCTTTATAAGTGCAGTATAATTCCATAGTTACAGTCTGACTTTTTTCACTGTACTCAAGTTTAGTGGCACAGGACAGAACAAACTATGCCTAAAAGTCTGAAGGAAACTTTGCATATATATATATATAAGGATATGAAATTAACTCATTCGTTACCTAGTATCAACGAAGAATGCTAACCTTCCACATAACAAGCGCTATTTCATGTGAATTATCATATATTCCAAGAAAATAGTCTCAATGTTCCACAATACTATATTGAAAAACGTGACTCTCTTCGTTGCTGAAGGATGGTTTTCACTTATCTGAAACTTGCCAATTTTCTACATAAGTTGTTTCTTAGACATATTGTCGTCTAATGAAAAAAGCAAGTTGAATAGAAGACTCTACTAAAGGATTCGACTTTTAATTTAAAGATATATTTTAATTTGGAGTAATAACGGAAACATTTCAGTGCATTTATATAAACTGGAAGTTATATTAATCGGCAAAGCGGACAGTATGATTAGGAAAACAAGTCTGACTGTGGGAAGCTTTACGTGCAACAGTATTTTGCGTAAGAAGAACTGAGAGGGTCCTTGCAGAGAAATTTCTGAACATCTGTTAAAAAACGCTATCATTAGGTGTTAGACTATATAACGGGACTATTGGTAGACATACAGGTCACGTCATCAGTTCTTATACGACTTCACAGGTGGTAAATAGACAGAGTAACAGTAGGATAATATGGTATGCAGAAGCAGCATCGATCCAACAATTAAGGCCTAATTTATGTGTGAAGAAGGATTTTCTGATCCACTCTGCATTGCCTTGGCAATCTGTTGTTTAATTGCCATTGGATTGTTTGCTCAATCCTCTTACCCTCTTTAAACATTTGAAAATCTAACCGTTTTCACTAACCATTGCGTTTATTTTATAGTAGTTTTATTCCTAAGTGTATCGTTTACTGTTTAATCGTTATTTTATTTCCTATCATGTATTAACTGCCCTCTCTACCACAAATTGTATGGAAATTACAAAGTTTAATTATGTAAGCCTTTTTGTAATACTCTCGTTTCATATTCCAGTAAAACTGATGAACTTTTGCATACTACAAGTTAAATGATAAACATTAAAGAATACTAAAAAATCTTTAATAATGCACAAAAATGCATAGAATTTATATCTCAGTTATATCGAAAACACATAGAACTTGCATTTAGTCAGAAGCTTACTTATTTGTATCAATGGGTAATTCATATCCATACGGCAATCCACGTTCAGTTAGGAAACTGCAAAGCAATATAAAAAAAAAGCTTGAAGTAAGCTTTCGATTTATGAAACTAACAAAACACTGCAGTGCCGATTTTAAAATGAAACCACACATTTTAACAAAAGCACTTAAATTTAGAACAGAAACTACTATAAATTCTGATTCAGTAAAGCGTTAGGTATGCAATTATTAATTTTTATTAAAACGTGTTTCATTGTTAAACTCGGTACAATTTCACTGTGTAGAAAAGACGAGTCCTGCAAATAAATAAATAGATTTCTGTAAGGCACACTAAGTGTAACAGTTCTGTTTTATGAGTGTTTTCTAATTTAATGTGATTGAATGCAACTCACTGAGACCGTTATCTCTTAGAAACAGCACGAACTGATAAAAAATGTAGTTTTGTTATGTAGTGTTGCAAATCTACCATATAAATATGCAGTGTGAGTGTCAAAATGCACTAATTAATAACAAGCGGTCTTGTAAGCCCAACATATATGAATTGTAAAGTGAGTAACTTTGTTATCTAAATACATGCAGCATATTTAGGTTCATTATGCACAAATATATGTCAAAAGGCCAAAGTTTTGAATAATATCACTAAACTTGTTTAAATTTACCTGTAAAATGTATACTGATCACATATAAATGTAGATATTTCGACGGCTGTATAGAATGGTATTAGAGTCGCAATCAGTATACATATAACTCTTATTTCCCTTCTGCTGTACGAATGATTACTTTCTTCACAATTTGGTAATGAATTAACTGACATTTTTCATCTGACAACAAAGCATCACTTGGATTCTAAAGTGAAGTAAGAAAGTGGAGTTTATGGAATTCGTTCCTTAAATTGACTGAATATCTTTTATCTAAACATTTAGAAGGACATGTAACTAACCATCAATTGGTCTGAACGTCATACAGACACACAACTTTCAGAAATAAACCAATCGCTGTAGAGGATAAGTTATGACTACTACTGAAGAATTATATGTTTATACACAGACACACACGTTCTGCAAATAGTATTCATATTATCTGACCTTATTTCCTTTGAAATGGAGGGATGAAGGATGTACACAGAGTTCCACTTAGCCCTGTTGTTATCTTGCTTTCTAATGCAGATTAAGTTCATTTTCCTGAAAGCTATATTTAGTTGTGTATTAACCGTTTCTTTTGTTGACTGAGGTGGCTGCAGCAGTTTACATGCCATTAGGAGTTGACATAAAACTGACACACATTATATTTACTCATGAAAGTTAGTGTCACCATTAAGAAAGTAGATCAGCTGTCAAACACAGCTACCAGAAATATATGTAGTACATAAATATGCTTCACATATTTGAAAGCAATTCCTGAGACATGGAAACATAGTGAATGCCTGAATAAGTAGAATGTTCGAAAACTGCGGATTTACGAATTCCCCCTCTTAACCCAAGGAAATGCTCCATTCTGGGCAGCAAATGACTGTTCCTGAAATTATGAGTAAAAACTGTCATTCCCTGCCAAACAGAATAAACTGTCTGCAATCTCTCGTGTCCTCCAATGCACACTGCAGTACAGGGATTATAAATCTTCAAGAAACCTGAAAACGTGTTCAATATACTGATCATTTTGTCTGCTTAGTTGATTTTAAATCATTTAGAAAAGATCAGTTTAGATCTAGGAATAAATGAGGTTAGTAGCTTTGCAGTCTTCATTAATTCCCAATAGTCTACTTCCATCGATATATCTTTTAGAAGTGACAAGTGACAAAACCGATTCCATTACCTTTGAATGTCCACCGAAGCACCTATATGAGTACAACATTTATACTCGAGCATTAAAATACTCTTCGTTTTGTGTTCACAAATGATTTCAGCAAATATGAAGCTCATAAAAGAGACCCACTACTGGACACTGACCATTGTATGATAGAAATGTTACCGAAAATATATGGAAAGCTATTCAGAAGGACCTTTTCGCATCTCGGCCAGGAAACTGATCATAGAAGTTACACTCAGAACAAAATACAGAATCTCAGAAACATGTTAAAAGATACAAAATGGGACTCATTTACTGAACGAGTTCTAGATGACACTATCACGAATACAGCTTGTTATCTCGAATTCTGTCCTGAGGTTTGCTGCAAAAAACAAATAATTTTCTTAACATTTAACCGCTTTTGTTTCTTCTCAGCTTAAACAGATTCACCGAGAAAAAGAAAGGCTATATAAAATAAACCATAATCCTGGTGTTAAAAGCCCTATAACGAAAAAGCGTTTATCATGTCGAATTCCCTAAGACAAGTGGAAACAATTGATGGAAATTACTGGTCGAAAGCAAATAAACCTCGATACTGCTACGCTTAATAAGTTTTTCATATGCCGTCCAGCAGACTCTGTGATTTCTGAAGCTACAGATGAAGAGAATGATTGCTTCCCTGACTTAATATAAATTATGCTCTCAAATATCTCCAGTCTCTGAAACCTACCCAAATGATAGCTTCAGATGGCTTGACCGCTATTATCCTCATGGAAGGTGCGGATATTTTATGTTATCCTCTCACTGGTATTGTCAATGCATCATTTTCCACAAATGTTGTGCCTATCACTATTGCTACACCATCACTAAAAAAGACTTAATTGGTCTCACTTAAACTCAAACTATCACTGAATGCTTTTAACTAGCTAGAACAATGTGCTCACAAACATAGTAGATGCACTTTGCATGCCACCGTCGTCTTACAGCATATTATTGTCTCGAGTTTAGAAAGAGGGCTAAATATATCAAACGTTCCCTCCTCCATTATATATCTGCCTTTGACTCTGTACCTAGGCTTCTTTTGTTAAACAAACTTGCTATGACACAAGCAGGTTGCCGCATAAATAAGTTGATGCATTCTTACTTATCTGATAGGAGACAGTACAGGGTAGATAATAGAAAGTCTACCTCTGCTCTACTTACCGTAGCCAGTGTTTCTCAAGGCACCGTTCTCTCTCCTTTTCTGGTTTCTCCATTATTTCATGATCGCCTCATTCTAATGAAACCAATTTCGTCTGATATGCCGACGATCTGATTTGTTTCCACACCGACTTTCACATCCTCATCACAGTGATCCCAAATGAGTAGCTATTTATCGGAAATTAGTCAGTGGTCATTGTCAAGTGATCTTAAGCAAAATCACAACTAATGTCAGATTGTTAATTTCACTTCCAGATTCAAACGTCATTTACATGAACTGATTCCTTCTCATGATTCTTCTATCATAGGCGTCACTGAGGTTGAAATTTGGTCGAATGTTGAGTATCTTGGATTGTGTATTTCTTCTGATCTTCTCTAGTCTTCCAACTACACGTTAATTCCTAAGAAGACATTTCACCTAACCTCCTGCATAAGAAGGTTGAGACAATCTACTTTTACAGTATGTGGATTCTTCTACTCCACCTATTCTTCTCCATTATAGCGCTACCTTATTCTTTGCTAGGCTACTCAAGAGAGAATTTGTTGCACTGCAAAGGCACAAAGGGCTGTCGGTTGGTCGAGTGGGGTTCGGCTGAACGAGCTTGTCATTTTTGCTGTAGATAGACACTTGAACTTGTCGAACTCTGAGAAACCTCTCTTGACAAAAATCTCTCCTTGCATCTCATCAGGTAGGTCTAGAAGCAAGACTCCATGGAAGACTTCATACTCGGACGACTGAAAGTGAAAGCTCTACGTTACCTTGTTTGGAATTTATCTATGTATTGAGGAAAGTGTTAGATGTGAAGTTTCTAACTTACTCGGAACACAAAGTAGTTTGCCCTTTTTATTCTTTCTTCCATTATTATGTTTTTGTCCTTACTTCCAATAATTTTAATTTGACATTCATAGTCTGACTGACATTTGTATGAATATAGGTGTCCAATAAATTATTCTCCTCGTACAAAGTAATGTTATATGCGGAGGAAATTATATCCAGTCTTGTACTGCATGATAAGAATTCAACATTTGCACCAAAAGTACTGTTAGGAATAAAGCCATTATTATTATTACTAGGAAAGTACCATTATTAACTGTTTAATCGAGTTGTAGTTTGTTTATTAATTCACCGAGTTTCACCTGGTATGTCTACATGCACCACCTTTTTCGGGTTTATAATTTCAACGTTTCATTAAATCACGATGTCTAATTGAATATAACAGTATTATGACGAGACATCATTGAACTACAAACCTCACCTATTTATGCAGGCATCATGTGTGTTTCCAGCGTATAAAGGTGTATAACGAAATCAAATCAAATCGTCGATAAACATTAAACTCAAACTTTTTATTAATTTTATAAAAAAACACTAGACAAGAATTATCTACCGACTTCTTTTGGCGTTTTATTTTGTAGTTTAGCATACTTCGCATTCACTTAATATTCCATACGGTCAAGAACTGTATTTAACGTGATCTTCAGCTAAAGAAACTCACTAGCGTAAACTTGAGGAATATTAATTGAAATTAGTTACAACTGTAGAGCGATAAACCACCACTTTAGTCACCTGAATTGCAGTTAGTGTGTCATGAGTTTACACTTCAATGGGCTAAGACTTATTGCCGTGTGAACCCACACGGATGTCTGATTTCATTTTTAAATCCTGTTTGAATCTCCAACATCAAATTGTGGACGACTTTATAAGAATTTCTTAGATTATCCACAATGTATCATCTCACATAAAATTATTGTAGCACAACAAAAAAGAAATACATTCAGTCAGCATTGTGATGGACTCAGCTAATTCTAAGAATGAGTTTTGAGAGAAACAGATAATAGCTGTAAACGAAACAATGATCCTTGCGTTCGTGGTTCAGTGGTAGAATTCTCGTCAGACTGACAGTCTCATTAACTCGTTGTTTAACTCGAAAAAGAGGGGTTGTAGGTGAAGCTATCAACCACATTCCTTAAAAATAACACCACAGCTACTGAAACTTAAAATATTACGTTGTAGTACTGTGTACCACTCAAACTTTAGGAAAAATTCTGACAATTTGGTTATGCAAAGAAAAAAAGTTACTTAACTAGTGGTAATTTCAGAAACAACATTGGAAGATTTCCATTCAACCTGTGAGTCACTCGTGATTACATGCAAGTGAAAGCACTGCAATGACTGAGGATTTTTCCATGTTATTTTACTAAGCAGCGTCAATTATGCTAGGTCTAGCTAAATTTTTATGTTCCAATAATCTAGTTGACCACGGTCTACTAGTTTCACCTATGTAAATGACCTCACTCACAATCATAATATGGTATTTGATAAATTATATACTATTTTTCTTAATTTGATCTACTTGGTCCTCAAACCGACAAGTCTTATTTCTGAGAGGGTTGGTTGGTCAGTTCAAATGTCTCCTTCAAGCCTCTGACGTTCCTTCTTTATACGGCTTTGAATTCTTTATTATTTTTGTCATTTTTATTGTTAATCTTAGTTTTTCTATGGTTCTTTATATATTTCTGAATAAATTCTGGTATGTAGTTATTCAATAGCAATGCTTCCTTTATTTGTTTGATGTTATTATTTAAATCTTCTAGCAAGTATTACAAAGTTTAAGATCGGAAAATCTATTGTCATAACTAAGGCTGACAAAGGCGATATCATCATGATTCTCAATGGAGAAGACTATGACAAAAAAGCTTGGGAATATATCAGATGAGGTCTGTCTGCACTAGTATCAAACAACAAAATGTCTAGTAATACGAATAAAGTAAAAAGCAGAGCTGTGTAGTTTACTTAGAGAATTGAACCCAATACTACGGAATCCAGTA